AAAAATCAACTTAGTTGGCTGTGTGAAAGTCTCAACTTTTTATCTTTGCAAATGTGCAAAAAACATAAAAGCAGACTACTTACAGGTGCTTCGACTTCTATGATTTTTCGTTATTAATTAGAACTGACGCTGTTGTCCACTGGAACATACCAAACAGCAAGAAACAGTGGAAACCCTGCTTCGAGTACCGTACCGACTGTAAAAGTTAAGGCCATGGTTTTTTAGTATTGACCAGGTCTGATTGACTACCTAGAGTATGGCAAAATGATCAAAGGGCTCTACTATGCTGAGATATTGGACCGATTCGACACTGAATTACAGAAGATTGGATGAAGAAAATAGTGTTACAGCCCTCAGCTACGAATGGCTGCCCCATCCACCATACTTTCCTCTCACCCTTCTTTTTGCTATACAACATCGACTACATACTTATAAGGCATCATACATATATATTTTTACCTATTTAGAAAGTATATTTGCGTACTAAGTATACAAAAATATAGTGAATCACTCCTTACTTCTCACAGAGAGAATTGAATTCCTCCCGACTTAAAGAGCGTCTATTGAAAACAAGCAAGTCAACTTGAGGCAAAAATGTGGAACTTGAACTTGTGTCAGAATGCGTTCAAATCTATGAGTGCATAACAAAACAAAAATAATGTCGCAATGCAACAACAGCACCATGAATGTTCTTTGGCTAGACGCATTATATTAATCAGGCACGTGTGTTTATGTGTGTGAATGCATGTGCATTGATATGTTGCAACAACGAAAACCGTTAATGGTGCGTCAAAGTAGCAACCTGCTGCCACCACAAAGTGTAACAACAGAAGCTGCACAGCCAGTGGTGTTGAATGTCAACAATTTCATGATCGAAGGCAGATTTCAACGGTGGCACTGGACGTCGCGACATGTTAGCACTAACCGAGAAACCAGAAAATCGAGTAACGCATTTACATGCATACACACACACCTATATATATTTATTGTGCATATATGAGCACTTTACAGTATAGTAAGTGCAAATGCAAAAGTTAAATCAAACAAATAGTAATTGTAAATCATAAAACGTATAGGAAACGTAAGCACCACAACCACAACTGGATCAGCAGTTGCAAATGTGGCAACAAAAATAAGAATTTACGGTAATAATAAAGCCAACACCTCAAACGGCAAAACAACTCAAGCACTGCTCATTAAAGCGAGTTGTAGTCGTAAATTCGGATGGCCGCTGGAACAGTCCACTGGCTGTGGCACGTTGTCATAGTTCTCATGCCAACAACGTTCAAAGTCATGGAAAGCATAAATGGGAAATGATCGGCGAATTAACCACAGACCGCCACAAAATGTGCGTAAATTGAGTCACATGCACGCACAGTGGCTGGTGTAAAATTTTATGAAATATTTGAGAGATCGATCAGTTTTCACCAAAATGTTAATTATTACAGAAACTGTTATTACAAATTTTAAACAATCATCAAAAGTTTATTGTTTTCTTTGATATAATTAAGAAGTTCGATTTAAAAAAATCGATTATTTGTTCTTTATCGATAATGGACATCTGCTTCATTCATTTAATTGTCTACGTTATTCAAAGATGTTAAATGTATGATAAAAGAAAATGAAGCCTTAAGATTTTAATTTAAGTCTTAAGTATTCTCTGAATTTGGCCATTAAGTTAAAAAAAGATATCGATAATTTCATTCAATTAATATGAATATTGATTAATTGAAAAATCAAAAAATTTCAATCTTTTGAATTAAGCATGGAAGATATTTTAAGGTGGCGACTATTATGATTAGGTTTTTTTTTATTTCGATCTTTTGTTGTGGGTTCAAATCATTAAACTTAAAGAAATCGATAAAAATTTAGCTATAATATTAACGATACAATTTTTATAAAATATTATCGATTTCTTATTAAAAAATACAAATTTCAGAACAACAACTTTATCGAATTTCTAAATAATTGAATCAAAACCTCAAAATTATTTGTCATATATAGAACTTGATCTGATCTCAAAAGCTAAATTGAAATATCAATTACTTGTGATCAAAAATAAACTTAAAGATATAGCTAAAATTATATCGATAATATTATCGATGACAGTTAAGAAATAAATTATCGACTGCTTTTCAAAAAATACAAATTTGAAAAGAAAAGCTTGATCTGATACAGAAAACTAAATCGAAATATCCATTATATGTTATAAAAATTAAACTCAAAGAAATCTATTTAAATATTTTTTATAGTAAAACACAAATTGTAAAAATTACAATTCAATATGATACGAAAAACTAAATCGAAATGTCGTTTATGTACTTGTGATCGAAATCAAAACTGAAACATTTTAATAAAAATGTATCGATAATATTATCGATACCATTTGCAAAATAAGTTATCAATTGTTTGTAATAAAAAATATTTCAAAACAACAATTCAATATGATACCTAAAACTAAATCAGAATTTTGATTAGTTGCGATCTAAATAACACTTAAAGATAGCGAAAAAAAATTATCGAAAAGTGTCTGATAGGTAAGTTTTCGCGGAACTGAGGTATCAGAGCTAGATTTTGAGGAATTATGATAAAATTGTTTAATATCTTAAATCAAAAAATTAAAATAAATCAGGAAACAAATCAGAATTTTTGATTGAAGTACTTCTGCAGAAATTAGGCATTTTTTTTGTAAATATTAGGCATATCAGTTGCTAATATTGCCATAACTTGGAGTCGGAATGGAGTCCTCTTATGTGTATTGCATTGCTGTTTTTTTCATTATTAATTTTTATTGCGTGAATTTAGTTGTTCCGATTTGTTTTGAGAATTTTTCTTTTTGTTTCTATTTTTGGCTATTGCAGATTCTGGCTATGCAAGTTGGAGCAGTTGTTTTTGCTATGTTTTGTTGTTGTTGTTATTTCATATGCAGACGTTTTACTTGTTGCGTGCATTGTTGTTATGTCTGGTACTACATGACCAAAGTGTGTGCGATTCTAACCTCTCACAAAGACACATACACGCAAGCATGCATTCAGACATTTGCAACAACACATCATCTGTTGTACACGCAACCAAGCCACTTCATATTTACGTTACATGCGCATAATAAAAAGTGCGAAAACAATGTTAGAGCATATCACTTACAGATGCTCTCAATATAGCCCTCTTCAGTGCCGCACACTTGAGACCCATTGCCTATAAATTATTGCGCGAATAACATGAATTCGTTGAGCATCAGTTTCATTTTAGTAGGTTATAGGCTAGAGGCGGATTATCCAATCGAACTACAGTTGTTGACTTCATGTTCGCATTTGCTCGCTTGAAATTAGATATTTGTAGTTTTGAGGGGCGCATTTAAAGTCTTAAAAATACTTTTGGTTAGTTCACAGAGGAGTAATAGAACATAATGTTAAAACAAGCGCTCATTTCTTTGTATGTATGTATGTATGTATGTCTAATGTTCTTGCATATTTTTTCTAATCACCCTTAGTACCAAAAGGGCATTTATGTGGTAGATATGTATTTCTTGGACTGAGCATTATAGTATTGGTGTATGTCATAATTTCTCCTTTGGACGGCTCCAGAAATTCTTATTTTTCTATATATGTCTTCTTAGGAGAGATCGACTTTCAAGATTCCGCCTGAATATTTTTATGTACATATTTTTCTGACAAATAGTTTAATCTCAAGAAATAGCTTCAACTTTTAGAAAACATCAACATTTTGGGACATAAATATCACAATTCAAGATGATTGTTTGACAACGCACAGCTCTTCCTACTTGACATAAATAGTAGTAGTAGCTGTATTAGCTGCTTTTGATTTGCCAAACTTTAAAGAGTAGCAAATCAAACACGCAACTAGCATAAAGCACACGTACTGGCAGCATCAAATAGAGAGAGAATAGTATAGTGAGGTATTTAGATATTATATTTATACCCTTAAAATTTGTATATATACCTATATTATATACCTATTCTTATATAGCTATATCTACGACTACGCTAAGCCTGCGTTCGATCCCTGCTATCAGCAATACTAGTAAAGTAAAGTATTTTTTTCTGTTTAAGAGCCTAAAATATATATACATACATATATATAAATGATCAGAGTGACGAGTTGAATCGATTTAGCCATGTCTGTCTGTTCGTTTGTCAGTTTATAAGCTATCGATCTGAAATTTTGGACACGTCATTTTCCCTTCAAAAAGCTGCTCATATTTCGGAACCGCTAATATCGGAGTACTCTAGAATGTAGCTGCCATACAAACTGATCGATCAAAATCAGGTTCTTGTATAGAAAACTTTTTTATTTGTTCACTTCTTCACAAAATGTTTTTTGAATTATCTTCCAAAGTAACGTTCTAATTGTTCAGATCGACCCTTTACCATATAGACTATAGCTGCCATACAAACTGACCGATCAAACTATAAGATATTTTTATATCCGTTAATATTTTAATAAATGCACCTGTAAAGGGTATAAACACAACGTTTATTTTTTTATTTTTTATTTTATGACAGCTGAAAATATAACGAATGTAGTACATATACATATGTATATTCTGATAAAAAGCGCGTGATTGACATTCAGCTAATAATTCGTTTTTGACATTTTTCGTATATTGTGTGTTCAAACAGCAGCAGTTTCTAAAAAAAATTATGTGACAATGATTAAAATAGCGAATTCGTGAGTAAATTACAGACATACGAATTAGTAAACATATAGAAAAATATATACATACGTATAATAATAATAATAATAATAAATATATATAAAAATGACGTGTCGTGTCTTGTACAGGGTAATCTCCCAAGTTACTTGTACTGAACCGATTTTAGTAAAATTTAGCACACTGTGTTCAGGTTGATCCAACAAAAATGGTAGGATAGTTTAAATCGCAAATTTTAAAAATTAAAAACAATCATCATTTGAATATTTTATCAATTAAAAAAATATAAAATAAAAATTATTATTTTGAGAAAAATGATCAGAAGCAAATCAAACCTCAACAATCAGCGGAGCAGAGAGGCACAGCTAAAACGTACTGCAAAGGAGTCGCACAATGCACAAAGGATAAGAATACCAGACAGTCCTGCAGAAGGAACTGAAAAAAACCATGGCGAACGTAAGCGGGAGATTAATGAAAGAAGAAGAGCTGCGCGTAAGCAAACCATAGATAATTTATCCTAAAAATTTAAAGAAAATACGTAGCATATTTTAAAGAGCAATAAATAGACACATGCACGCGATCGGTTGCGTTTTGCAAATAAATCGACGCACATCGATTATCAGCGCTGTATCTTTGCATTTATATATATATATGTGTGTGTGATTGCATAGCAAAGCGAAGCGCTTAAAACACCCACAACGCAAACGCGCTATTATCAGAAAAATAGAAAAATAAGAATGCAAAATAAAATAAAATAAAATAACAAAAATACCAATAAACACACATACAACACTAATTTGAAGTTCATTGCCCCCATTCGTTTGCTTGTTGCGTACGCCTGTATGTGTGTATGAGTATGCGTTTGGCAAGCTATGCATGCGATTTGCGTTCCAACACTTTAGCTTTCACGGAGCTTTCATGCGTGAACACGCTGACGTATAGCGGCACATATATACAAGTATGTGTGTGTGTAGTGGTAGCACCTGTGCGTCTGTCTGTTCACAGATATTTTTTGGTTTAAGTTATTTAACACAACATTGTTCTTGTTGCTGTTGCATGTATTCTATTCACTTTGCACTAGGTGCACTGTTATATTATACAATATTATGTATTATAATATATATTATTTCAATGAAAACTAATTGTATTTATATATTTCTCAAGTGGTTCTAATTTATTTTTCCGTTGGATTTTTTTTTCTGTGGCTACAACGGTATGCACAAAAATTGCTGCGCAAAAATTTCTAAACTATTCAAATTGTTGATAACAGAATTATTGGCGAGTTTGTCTGTTCTGCTCACTTGCCCACACACCAACCGCCTGCACTGGCCACTGGTCCTTCCCACCAACCTCAATCACCTTAGAACCCAACAGTGCCCACCTCCATGCATTAGCATAGCCAAAACAAACAAGTGAATTTGGTAATATTTATGAGCAGAACTCTTTGTGGCATGCGGTTTTACTTATTAGACGCCACTGCTGACCTCTTTATTTGGCGATTTATATTTATTACATATGTGTTCGATGTGATTTATTTTCAGATCCATATTATTGCTGCTATTTTCAATTATTTCTCAGTTGAATATGCGCCTAGAACTTACAGTGTCTGATTTTTAAATGAAATTAAGCGTCGTGTACCAAATATATGCGATTATCATGAGGTGTTATTAGAGTAATGTTAGGCGCAGAGTTTTATTTGTAAAATTATTTCCAAAATATAAATTATTTAGAGTCTAAAAAATAATTTTAAAAACGCACTTACTAGAATCCAATTGCAGGAATTGCTCACAACGCATTAAATTAATATTGAACGTTCATAATATTCGCCTGCACTGTTAAGTCACATGCAGAAGAAGAATGCATATCTCATAGTTGAACATGCAAAATATTTACATCATTCATAACAACAAAAATAATTGTGCAAAATTTTTTCAACGCTGTTGACAAAATATAATAATAGCCAAGCGTGCTATAGTTTCAGCGAGGGGTTGGGCGTATGTGTAACAACAATCGTCATTGAACTTGACATCACGTATACGCGCTGTTGTGCCACCCGCCTATATGCCAAGTGACAAGTGACAGCCATGACGCTCACGCGCTTCTTATAATTTGCCTGTGAGTACAATCTCTTGATGTTGTTGTTGCATTGGAAAATCTCAGTTATGTGGTTATGAATAAACGTGGGAAGCAATAATTTAAGATTGATCGCACCTAAGAGTAAATTATGTGGAAAATACTTGTAGTGATTTTGCTATAAAATACATTTACACTTCTTTATTGGTTATGACTCACAGTCACACCACACGACACGATACTGTCTAGGTACCAAGTGAATTGGATCAAAATGCTTTAAAGCTTCAACGTTCTTTTTGCGTGGTTGGTTGGTTGAAATGTGCGGTGCAGGAGCGCCAGATGTGCAATGGATTTGATAAAATATCTGATATCGCTCCACCCTATTTGACCAATGTCTTTAAGTTGTAGCAGTAAGATCCATGGAAGACATCCAACCGGCTGAAGGTTGCGCATTCGTAAATGTATCAAAAATGTATCTGCTCATGCTCTGCATTCTGCCGTTGGGATCTTAGCGGTAGGTGTCCTGTGATGACCTCTACAATGTTAATTAGTTCATTCTTACGTCAAAGTAGAAACTTTTTGGTCTGTCCATAAGTTTTTCTACCCCAAAGTACTTTTACGGCATGTCTCTGTTGCTATTGTTCCAAGACCGTAGATGTTGCTCTAGCGATTATTATATTCTTGACTGCCTCCGAGCGTATCAAGATTATACGGAATTGAGTAAGCAGAAAATGATCGAAATAAACAGAAATCTATATTTTACTCAGTTACTCAGTCAGTTTTTACCTTTTGTTTACAGATGCGAACCTCTTCTATAAAGTGACTATTAGGCACTTTGACCAATGACACATTGAACTTATAATAGCAAAAGAACAACAATACATTATATTTTAATAGTTCGTCATTAATAACTTTACTTAGTTAGTAAAAGTAGACTCAACTGCTTTCCTATATTAAATATACATTATAATGACTAATAATTAAAACAAAGTAAATTGTTTTCTAATATATAACTAAATTTGCTCTAATTAATATTAAATAATTCAACTTTTCTTGACACAGGGGACAAAAATTGTAAACAATTAGCAATGTAAGCAAATATATACCCATTTAGTTGTCTACACGTGTTATAAGCGAAAGCAAATATACTCGTAAGTACAAATTTATTATAAATAGCCTTAAATTATTGCTAAAGAGATTCTTAGGACTATTAGTCGCTCGATAATGAGTGTGTGCTCTTGGCAAAAATTTTATTCTATTGAAAATAGAACTTAACGCAAAAGACTGTCACTAGAGTAGACTAGACTAGATTAGCCATATGTAAACAATAAAAATTGAAAGTGCTGAGCAATTTACTGAAACAATTAAGTTATAAATAAGCGCATAAACGAATTTGGTGTTCATATACGCTCAATTAAATAGCTTACAAAATGAGTGTTGCAAAACTTATTTAGTTATTAAATTTGTTTTCTTTTTCAACTCAGATTCTTGCTAATCTTTATACTTTTCATTTCATTTAAGTTAAATTACAGGGATTTATAGAGAATTTTACACAAATATACTGGCAATTAAATGCAAATTATCGCTTACTCTTTAATTTGTTTACAATTAATCATAATTGTCATAATTTTGCGCCAAGTAGAATTGTTTAACTGGGAATTATAATCTTTTCATTTTCGAAGTCATATTAAACGTAGCTTAGAAATCAGCACTGATATCTCATATTGCGATCAAATTTACAGTCTGGTACTAATTATTACATAAAAAGTGGCCAATAATGTCATCCAATCACTACCGAAAAATAATACCGAGTTTGTCAACTAATTACACAACGCCTGCTAATTGCACGCGTTTTACATTTTCGTGCCTTCAAATAAACAATATTTATCGTGTTAGCGCCTGAAACTCGTGTTAACTTGCAACAATAACACCTAATACACCCAGCAACAAACGCAATTTATTGAGCACCCTATAGCTGTGGGTGTGTCTCAATGGGGTATTCTTACGCATTTAGAATTACTTAGATTAAGATGCTAAGATATTTATATTTTTGTTGTTATTAACTCGAAAACAACTTCATTTGTGTGGATCACGTAAGGGATCGTGTAATATTTGATGAAAGTACAACAGATGCACGCTCGATAAAAGCTTTCTTTATGAGCTCAACATTTTCTTACTGCAACCAGCATTGGTTATTAAAGAATCGAGGTAAAGTGGGCTGGCATGAGCACATGCTACGGCGAAGAAACATTTAAAAGAAATTGGCTTATTTGGTGCTATTAATTGTGTTACCTTAAACAGTTTCTCTTCATCAGTATTCAAAATTTATCTACAAAATTTTTTTCAAGCGAAAAATTTTTTTGTGTTCTTTGTGGCAAAATATTGGACATGTTTTTTTATTTTGGCCTTCTGAACTTTCAAAATTTCAACGAAAAAAGTACCTTTCAATATTTGCGTATACGAAAAAAAGTAATTAATTATTAAAAAGTAAATGTTTACGAATTTTTCTTAGCTTTTCAACGAGATATACGTTGAATGTATTCCATTTTTTTTTTATAAACAAAAGGTACATTTTTATAAACAAATATATATTTTTTTTCAATTTGCAACTATTTCAATTCAGTTTTTTTTATTGAAAAATGTACATTAGTCATTGTGGGATATTAATCGTTAGATGATGAGTTCATGACTATTTAGATTAAAATTTTTTTAGTTAAAAAATCCTTCTCCTCCTATCATATTTTTTACAACTTTTTTAACTAAAAATTTTTTTTACAATATTAATTAAAATTTATTCAATATATTTGTGATATCGATTTTCAGTATGTTATTTTTAAAGGTATAAACTATCGACATAAAAAAAATTTTTAAATTTTACACAAGGTGTGCCCCTTAAAAAATTTTGTGCCAAAAAGCAGGCAATATAAGTTTCATATTACACATAAAAACTGTACACTAACGCATGGCACATTGAGCATTGCTTACTTTTCATCGCAATGATATAAAATCTTGCTCAATTGTCAGGGATATATAAACGTGCTGAAAATTATATACGGCATATATCGATTTATTACTAAAATTATAAGTGACGTGTAGATTCTAAATAAATTCACGTCTGATACTGAAAATCTGAAACTTTTGAGCTCAACCTGATGGAATCCTTCCGTTATAAAACAAATCTCGAAAATCACATTAAAGTGGTAAGTTTATTGACACCATTTTTGCGCAAATCAAATAAAAATAAGAATTGCGTACGGTTATGAGTAAAATATTAGGTCCAAACCGTAAATAAATATAACTCTGCAATAAGCGCACTCATGTTGCTTTTAAATGTTTTTTTTTTTTTTAATTTTTACATGTATGTAACTCATTACTCAAATAAAACTCCAGAGCTAATTATTTATAATTTTAAATATTATAAATTTAGCATGCCATTGTTATTAAATTTCAATTAATAATTAAATATACAAACAAATTTACGTGTGGGCTTATATTATAACGCTAGACTAAAAAATGCACGTGAATAGACACAAACACAAAAGTACTCATACAAGTACAAGTATATGTATTTGTATATGTACCCATTTATTTCTATATTCTCTTGCTGCCACATTGCTGCGGCAATCGATCATGTGGTCCGCGATTCGTGTGATCAGCCGTATGATCTCAATATTGACTTGCAAATACATATATGTATATACGCATACAAGCGTATCTGTTTACTTATTTGAAACTTTTCCTATTCGCCGACAAATCGAGTAAACATAATTCATTCATGCGGTTGATGACGTAGTCACATAGTCACACAACGGCAATACAAACATACTGACATGAGCTTTTGTGTCTATGGAACTGAGCTGGTCGGCATGCGCGGAATGCTGATATTGATAAAAACGCTAGCAATAGTCAGACTGTGCGGTAATCTAAACTCAGAACGCGCGTAATCGGATCTGACGCTCTCACCGCTGGTCACCGATATTACTCGACAGCAACACATTTAATGGAATAAGTGCTAAGTACAATCAGTTAACGATTGCAGAATTAAGGTAAACTTGGTAGACATAGCACCTTATATAGAACAACAACAACAACGCGCACTATCAACTAAGAGAACGCTTAAAGTCCAAGGTCAGAGCTTTTGGCGTGCGTGGCTTTCCCTACCTGTGTTAGTGAACCGGCGAGATGTAATTAAATTAATGCAGCAAATTTCGCAAAAAAAAAACACTGATTTCCACGTGCGCTCATCGCCTGGCTTCGCTTGCCGCCTTAGCGCTTTTGTATGTGCAGCACAATGAACCGGCGGCGGCGAAAGCGTACATGCGCTTAGTCACGTAGGCCGTGCGAATTGTTTAGTCAAAATGAAACTGAAACTATGACAATAATGTACTACGAATTGCACACAAAAAATAAATACATAATTCTTCGTTGAAAACATTTGCCATTTCGTTTGCGCTGAGTGCGCGCAATTTTTCCTAAACAAAAGTCAGTACATACATATGCATGTCTATTTGTGAGTTTTGTTTTTGTTAAGCTTTCTTCTGCCTCTTTATGGTGGACGTTTGTTGTTTCAAACACTCGCCAGTGTGGTGATAATTGGCGCGGCTTGGTGTGATACTCGCGCGCGCGATTAGAATCGCATTCCGTCTCTGAGAGAAATGCGTTGCCACTGTACTTTATAGTTATCGGCGTTTGTCGCAACTCTCGCACAAGCGCTGGAACAATTAGTCAAAATCGAATACCAATTGATTTAATTGAGCTTACCCACAGGTCCACTTGTCGTGGTGTGATAATAATCACCTATGAAAGGTTGCGCGTTTGATTACGACCAGCTGTTTATGGGTTTGATTATTTCGCAAAGTCTGAATAAGCAGACGGCTTTTATGTTTTTTATGTAGGCCGATGCTTTTAAGTGAGTAATAATAAAAAAATAATCGCGCTTATAAGCATAGCTTGTTTAGGAAATTACCCTTGATAATGATCTTACGGAATTTTTTTGAATATACATATAGAATAGTTAGTAAATAGTAAATGTTTGTATGCATATACTTTCAGTCCGACATGTTTAAAACTATAGGAAGACTAGTTGACAGCTTACCACATTGACAGCTGTGATGTAATATTTTATGGATGCATAATATTTAGTTTTTGGGTTTACTTTTGAATTTCGAGGTTAGTTGCATACAAATATTTCTGAATAGTAAAGACATTTAAAAAGGTTTTGAAAAATACAAAATCAGGAACCTCTCTGACATTTCCAAGTAGCTCATAACTATGTCGTATTCATAACACCTAATACACCCAGCAACAAATGCAATTTATTGTGCACCCTTGGGTGTGGTTCAAAGGAGTATTCTTACGCATTTAGAATGACTTAGATTAAGATGCTAAAAACGTTTATATTTTTGTTGCTGTTAACTTGAAAACAACGATAATAACTTTGAATTCTTTAGATGTTTATTTAAAGAAATCGATTGCCTACTCATTTAATTTGGCAAGGGCATGGATACCATGTAAAAGTGTAGACTTTCCAAACGAGAGTTCTACACATTTTTAGTATCGAATAAACAAATATACATAGACTATTATATGATTAATATAACATACATATACACATAATATTTACAGATTTTTCACTTAAAAATGTTGGCGAAAGCTGGTACCATGTTGTTGTTGTTGTTGCAGCGACAGAATTCTGCCGAGTTGACAGTCCTTGGCCGGAATAAATCCGGGTCCGTTCCGGTTACGTAGACCCGACTGTCGTGGGAACGGAAAGCTGGTACCATCGCTAAGGCCGCTTCTTTTCTTTTGGGAGGGCAATCAGCTGCACTTCTGATTCAGCGAGCGCTCGTTAATCAGATATTTCATTTAACTATAGCTTATTTCTAAGCCTTCTGAAATATAAAGAAATGAGATATTTTCTTGTTTTCAAAAATAAATTTTTTGTAAGCTTTCTGAATTTTGAATTCAGAAACCAATACAAAAGTTTGTTGCTCTGAAACTCAATGAGTATTTTTTATATATTATATATATTATTTATATATTATATTATTTGGATTTTTTTCTTTTTTAATATTTATATGTATGACCCACGAACAATTCGTATTGCGTAAATTCAGCAGCCCATCTGTAAACTTTCATAAAGGTGTACTCATATACTTGTATGTATGTATGCAGTATCGAAAATAGCTGATTGTTGTGCTCTATTAGTCTGTTTATTTGCATTGAGTTATTTTGTATACTTTTCACGCCACTTTCGCGATTGCTTAACTACTTTAATAAATATGTTTTTGTTATTTTGTCTGCCGGAATGAAAGCTACACAACAATATTTTCATAAAAAGCAGACAAATGCATTTTGCTCGCTGTGAAGAATCGCTTGGTCAAAAAGAATTATTAGATCTAATAAAAGCTAAAGCGTTATTAATACAATTGCTATAATTTAGGGCAACATTTGCTTCAGCAACATGTTGATTAATTCAAATAGATCGCGCATTGGCTGAGTTCCAGTTAAGGTGCATTTATTTATAATAGAAATAGGTAAATCCTAAAAAAATTGTTCAGCGCAACTCAGTTTACAGCTTGAACTCTTATTAAAATCAGAACACAGTCATACCACTATTATTGTAAGACTGTTTAAGAAGATCTCGTGCCTTTCGTTTGCTTAGAAATAAAGCCTAACATAATAAACATTAGCGACGACTTCTAGAACACACAATAATTTTTTGTTCTGTAAAGTTTTCTTAGTTTATACAAGAACTATCCTAAACATTACCTACCTCGAAGAACCGGATGTCGCTTTCCATTTGTGTGTGTCTGTCTTAAACTACGTATTGAAAAATATGTTGAGCTTTCCAAAAAAGAAAACAAATTTTCGAGGCGTAAGTACCAAAATGACAGCCACCAGTCGCTTGAGTAACGAAAAGCAAGTTCGCTCATGACGAACAGCAGTAAGAGAGCAAACCTTAAAATGTCTTAGCATTATTTAACTCTTCAAGAATGTGAGGATTTCAAATGAGTTCATAACGGTGCATCACAAATAAAACCACGAATAATACTCATAACTTCTTCAACCAGACCGTTTAAGGCAATGCTAAAATGTATAATATCTTTAACGCTTTTATTTAATATTTTGACAAAAAATTACATATTTGTGTAATTATAAGGTGCAAGAATCATACATGGGTGAAATATTCAAATGTGTTTCTCAAAGAAAGAATTAATATAAATTTTTTTTTTTAGAAATGTGTAGCGGCTAGCGACTTCTTCAATTCGCCAATTCTTAGCCCACGGATGTCTCTGCTCCACTTGAAAAATCAAAGTCACTCTCATTGCCTGCATTGGCCGCGCTAACCGTCGGCGCCTTTACACTGGAACTGTCGTCCGTTTCGCTGCTGTCCACGAAAATTACGCGCTTCTTCTTCTTCTGGGCATCGCTTTGCATGACATGTTTTTCCGCTGTCGATAGAATTGAGGTGGGCTTAACAACCTTGAGAGCGTTAGGGACAGCTGGCGCCACAGGGGCTTCTACTGTCGCTGCCGGTGAGGAAGGTTCAGTAGGCGTTGCTGCGGCTTCTAATGCAGTTTGTTCAATGGCAACTGGTGCTGCTGTAGCGTTATTACTGTCTTCATATGCGTAATTCACTTCTTGAACTGGTTGTTCTTGTTGTTGCTCTTGTGGTTCAGTATAATCTTGTATGGTATATATCGCTTCTGCATTACTGACATCGCTGGCAGTATATTGTGGATCGACGACAAATTGGCCCGTAGTTTCATCGTAGATGTAGCCAGGATAAGCATTCGGGTCGTAGTTGCCATACTGTGTAGCATCATAATTTTCGTAATCTTGCTGTGAATAGCCCGGTTGTTGTTCTTGTTGTAGCTGATCAGTTGTATCTGTGGAACTTGCTTCGATATTTTGCTCTGTGGGATAGTCAGTATAGTTATTCGCTGTTTCCGCAGTGCTGTAAGCGTTTTCTGCGTTGAATGTGTTTGTGGGCTGATAAATCTCTGTATTGTAGGTGCCATAAGTGGTCTGAGTTTGTGGTTCAGTTGTCTCGTTTATGGCGTTCTCTGGTTTTAGTTCTCCGGTAATGCCACTCTCAATGGTGGTGTTCTCCGTGATTCCAGAGAGATTTGTTGTGTATTCTTGTTCTTGTGTTGTAGATTCCGCAAGCAGGTTGGTTTCCAAAGGTGTTTTTTGCTGTTCAAGTAGTTCAGTGAAGAAGCCTTGCGCTGCGGTTCTTATGGGCGTCACTTCAGTTTCGGCTAACTGTGGATTCACTAGCTCGCCATAAATGGCGTTCTCAATGTTATCGATTTTGGAGCTCGAAAGCGGTTTTGAAGCGGAAGACATGCTAGAAGTGGGTGCCATTGATGCATTCTCTACGGACCCCATGTGCGATTGCCACGATTGATTATCCAAATTTTCGTTCGAAGTTGGCAGTTGCTCGGCACTTGATTCATGTTTTGGATTAACAATTTCTGAGAAACGCTTGAAGCCAATGTAACTTTCATTGTTGGCTGGGTTCAAATTCCTATTGGCGTAGCCATTATTTGCTTCAGTATCAATTGTGCCATATCGCTGCTCGATTTCTGCAATCTTTCGCCTATGCTCTTCCGCTGTACTTAACTTAATAGTATTCCCTTTATTGAAAGCATCTACTGCAGTTGTGCTATTATGGTCTTCTTCAAAATTGTAAGAAGGCCTTGCGAATATTGCTGGTTCTTTCGAAGTGACGGCCGGATTTGTATGATTCATTGCTATGCCCATAATATCGGCGTCTTCCAGCTTAACCGCCGATACACCGTTGATAACTTCACTGACAGTAGAACTCGGTTCTTTAAATACAGGAGTTAAATTGTCTACGGAAGCCTTCATCGACGTAGTATTGTCAGATTGATATCTAGACAATTTTTCGTGGGTCTGAGTAGATGTTAGATGCGTAGGTTTACTGTGTGCTGTAGCTGGCGAATATGTAGATTCTTTCATTTCACCAGTCTCCTCCATTCTGTCTATAGCATGCGGCATTGTCTCAGTTTGCTTGTGAGCAGTTTCACCGACTGCCTTGTCTACTATGGGGGGAAATTCTGTTGAAGTCGCAGCTTCTGCTGTTGGTACTATATTATTCGTTAGTTCGTACTCATTTGGGACACTATGCTTCTTCTCCGTCATATCAGCATTACAGCTCTGTGGTATATCGCCCCGATTTCCAAATGCCATCGCAGAATCAGTTGGAGTTACCTTAGCGTAAGACGCTTGCTGTTGTAGTTGGTGCTGTTGGATAATCGGTCCATAACCTAGCGGATACTGAAAGAATTCATATGGTGTAGCCGTCGTTGGTAGTGTGCCGGTAGCCATTGACGTTGTCGGCGCTCCGCTGAGCAATAATCCGGCTGGCGTCGGTGTGGCCATTGCGAAAGTCCACATGCGTGGCGTTAGTGCTGCCGGCTGTGATTCTCGCATGGCTTCCACGTGATTAACCCTTGGTTGTAATATAGGGATTGCAGGCACCGGTGTTGTTGTTACCTCACTGTTCAGAGAGCCTATTGGTGGCGCTGTTGTTGGCGCCTGTGCGGCTACGGTGGGCAGCAACACCGGTATCTGTGTGGACGCTGGCAGGGCAGTTATGGGTGTAGTTTCTGCTGCCAATCTTGTTGTTGGCATAACATTTGGTATGCACCGCACCGGTTGAGCGTGCATTAGTTTGGCGAAGTAGCGTTCATATTGAAGCTTAACGATGAAGATTTATGTATAGGATTTTGGAAGCGCTCTGGTATGTGCGTTTTAATTTTACTCACCTTCATCATTTTTAGTCGCTCGCTGCGCGCTGATAACGCTGTCGTTTGTTGATCGATGCGCTCGATCATTTGCATTAGCATTTTGTTGCGCTCATTGCGGTGCTCCTGCTCATCCAGAAAGCTCTGGTACTTTTGTCGGATTTTTGTTCGTACCGACTTGTCGCTGGTGAATCGGTGGGAAAATACATAGTTGCATATTTTTTAGTTATGTTTACATAATTATGGTATCTATATATATAGATACTTACTGTTCGCTGCGTCGTTGCAAAATCTGCTGAAGCTCTTTTTGCAATTGTTGGCGGTTCTCCTCACTGCATTTTGTGTTGCGAAAGTGTTGAGAAAGTTAAGGTATGTAAAAAGTTTTTTTTTATGATATGTGTAATATTGTGGATTAATTACTTTAAGCTACAGCTAAATTCTCAAAATAACTGCAATGGAGTTTTTATTAATTGCAATTTTACACTACCCGAGCACTAATATTTAAAAAGATTCATAGTATGTAGTAGTAGCTATATATGGTTTCTTCTATTGTTGAGAGTTGTCGTCTGACGTTGCTACTAGGAAGTTTGAGTTTTGGGATATTTTGCTTTACGTGACGGTGTTATTCAACGTGGTTTGAAAATACACTATCAAGCTTTCTTTTAAATATAGTTTTGTCCAATTTGTCGCGCTCCTAAGCATGGTGAATAAAACACAAAACTGTGTATAATTAAAAAAAACTGGCATAACTGTACCGAGATAGAAGAGGAAGCGGTTATCTAGTTTCAAATATCATCCTTCACCACTAAACTCAGTTCTAGGGTAAGCCAAAACCAAAGCATATCATAACTAAATATACTTATGCGATATTGTCTAGTATTTTCTTAGCCTCTTAGCTGAAGAGCAAACTACGATCGATTTCTGACGCCAAGAGGAGCGTGTTGAAAAACTCTGAACAGGGTATATTAAGTTTGTTACGATGTTTGTAACACACAAAAGGAATCGTCGGACACCCTACAAAGTATATACATAATTGATCAGTGTGACGAACTGAGTCGATTTAGCCATGTACGTCTGTCAGTCCGCCCGTCCGTCCATCTGTATATACAAGTACACGAAGTAGTCACTCAGTTTTTGAGTCATCGATCTGAAATTTTGCACCGAGCCTTTTTTCGTTAAAAAGCTGCTCATTTGTCGGAACGGCCGATATCGGACATAGCATATAGCTGCGATACAAATTGAACAATTGGAATCAAGTGTTTATATGGAAAACTTTTTCATTTGAGGAGATATTTTCACGAGACTTTACATGGGTGATTGTTCAAAGAAACAGTGCAATCTCCGAAGAAATAGTTCAGATCGCGTTACTATAGCATATAGCTGCCATACAAATTGCCAGATCAAAGTTCTTGTAAGAAAATGTGTAAAATATGAATTTGTGAAGGGTATTATAGCTTCGGTGCAATGAAAGTAAAATTTTATTCTTGTTTTTTATCTCATTATCGAGTCTGTGAAATGAAAAAATTAAAGTACGAAGATTGCTATCGAACTTTGATAGTTTCTCCTGGCGTATTATGGTAGCGTTAGAATGCACACATATATATTGAACATATTTTCGAGAAAGTTTATAACAATTTCTTCGCGACTTGTTTTAATCACCAAAAATTCTGCACAAAACTACAACTATGCTACTATGGCTTATATAATACATAAAAATATATGTAAATATATATTATATATTATATATTTTATTTCTTTGCCATTTGAGCTCCACTTCTACACTTGTGTACCTTTGTTTTAGCTTTTCCTGCAGCAAATCCACTTGCAACTTGTAATTATCCAACTCGGATTGGGGATACATGTTGCTCCACAACAACTGCATTAAGGTCCTCAGCGCGTGAAAGCAGTAAGTGGCAAAATTGGTATATTCGTGTAGACGAACACCCACTTAACCGTTCAACTGTTACTGCACAACTGAAAATTCGACAATTTGTTTTGCCCAACTATTCGATATACATACATACCTACTTACGGTGACAACATCGGAGTTGACAACATTCGCTGAGCTCATTTCCCCCTCTGTTTGCGACGATTAAGACAACCGTTGGCTGTTCTGCGTACCTGCAGGCAATTACTCACAAATCCATACATACACACACATACACAAGCCTATTTGTATTGCACACCTACGAGCAGGACAATAGTTAACGTTTTTTTTCACTACTGCCAACACTAAAAAACCAGAGCGAAATGGGTTTGTTGTTTGTTTTCGTTTTCGCCGTTGTCAAGGTAACGACTAGTAAGTGTATCGATATTTGTTGGTTGAAAGCGATATATGTACATATATACCAGAATATATTTTATATATGTATGTGAATAATTATATATCATATGTAACATATTATATTTGTGTATAAAGCGAAATATTTATAAAAAATATTTTATTTATTTTTTTTTTTACTTTGCATTGAAAGGTTATGTCTTGAAACGAAATACCCAGTAAATATGAGAAGAAAGTTCAATTGTTCACAACTAATGAACTTATAGAAAGTCGCAGAGTGTCGTGGAGGCAAATAACAGTTAATAAAAAAGTATGTACATTTTTCTGCGAGTGATTACTTTCCATAAGATATTATAATACATAATACCATTTTTGTTTTTACATTAGCTATAGCAACCTCAAAACTCTTTAGTAAAATTCCAAATGCTTTTGTTTGCTTGGTTAACAAGTCTCCGTGTATTGAAGACGAGACCATTTGGTGCATCATTAGCATAATTTATTGATTTCTCCTAGCTAAATGTGCGAAAAAGAAGCTTTGTGCGCCTAAGTGGCACCTACACATATTTATTGTAATAATAAATAACAAATAAAAGTTTTTGTATTCTTGCAAATTATATTTTTTTTCCAAGGAATTTACTGTTACTTTTACAAAAAAAAATATTCAATAAGAAAATCTAAAGGTCAATGAGTAAATTTACGACGTTGAATTTGAGTCAAACTGTCTTTTTTCTCGTTGTGCGAGAATTTTGGTTCTACTTGTACTTCCTTTTCATTATTTAGATTATATTTTTTTATACAAATATTTTACATGTGTTTATGTGCTAGAAGAAGAAGCAATAACTAACTGACTAGGTCAGTGCGGCATTCAGGCAATTTGCATTTGTACGCGTAGCAGCTATGAGCTGAGCGGACACACAATGCGGTAAATGCAAACTTTTAGGGGTTAATGGCAGGTGTCAAATAAGATATTCATCACATACTGGAATGCATTAGTGTTGTGTGGAATGCATTACACTAGTGTAGTGGTTGCAAAAACCGATTACAATTGTGCAATAATGCGTCAAATTTATTAATAAGTAATTTAAATTTGGAGATCAAGCGAACTGAGGCTAGTAAACGAATTTATAGCAAGTTCATACAGCTTTGATCTGCTTACATATCCGAAAATTTACTATGAATGCGAAAAAACATTACTACTTACACTGCATGAATCCCGATCGAACAGTGTCTAGTTAGAACTCCTTCAACCATTGAACCATAGCTTCCTAGACTTCTTCCGCTATACCCCTGCTCAGAAGGACCACGCGATTGCACAGCTTCTGGTAGTTGACCAACGCTAGCTGAGCTGGTCTGAGACCCAACAGTCCAGTAGTGAACCACAAGAAGTCAACGAAACTCTTAGCCGTGCTGCAGTTATTGAGACTGAAGTACCTGCTCTAGCAAGTTCATCAGCCTTACAGTTCACTGCAATATCGCTGTGGTCTGACAATCAAACCAATCTAAATATATATAACAATAAAACGGCTCTCCTAACTAGTCTTGAGCGCGCAGTCAGCATACTTAAGGCCAATATCGCGTCCCTACTATCGCAGTGGATAGTCACCATTCTGAAGGAGGCTGTAAGCAAATAAACGAATGCCGCATTCAGCCCAATCATTGTGGTGGAAAATCGTTTAAGAAACTTGGAAATGTGGAAAAATTATAACGAAATGCCAAACGTGAATGAAAAGAAATTTGTGTTTATTCGTTTTTATTGCTTTTTATTATGTTATTTTTCGTATGTTTTTGTTTTTTTGTTTTGATTTGTATATATATTTACGAAATCATTGCATATATTCGTTGCAGTGATTGTTTCTTCAGTCTTAATTTAGTTTTAATTAAACAATCAATTAAATCATACATTTAGCGGCTACTTATAAATAGGAAATAATATTTATATCTAAATTTATATGCCTAGAAATATTTGATTGTATGTAAGTATACATAAGTATATTGCAGTTGGCTAATTGCAGGATGATTTTGATAGATTTATGTTTACTTATGTAATTTTGGTAATTCTACTTAAGACAATAGCTACACATTTATGCTTGTTGTTTGTGTTTGAATTTTGTTTATTTCGCTTGCTTAATTACAATAAATATTATTTTCTACTTATTTACGTGTATGTCTATATATGTGTTTTCAAGTGCGTAGAATATTTTTTCTTTTTATAAGAAGCAAATGTTAAGGTCACGAAAAAGATGAAATCAGTTCTTTTTGTATTTTTTTCTAGAAATAACGTGGTCTCTTGAATTATTAAAACTTTAGTACCAAAAAGAAATATATATGTCTTAAACCTTACAACAGTGTTTGGTTAAAAGCATCTTTCGTTTAAGCTGTAGAACATTTCTATACTGAAACATTTCCATATGTTTGGCTTAGTATGGCCCATACACAAAGCTCTCTCTCCATAAAATAGAATTTCTGAAATTTATTTTTGAAATATATATTTTAGTTTTAATTTTAAATCATTTTAAAAATATTACTTTCAACGGTCAATTTAAAAAAATATGCAAAAATGTGCTAAATTCTATTATAGTAATCATTCTAACGGTAATTTATATATTTTTTTTTATACTTTTAAGTGTTTTTATTATAATAAATAAATAAAAATGATACAGATTACATGTCTCGAAAATAATTATTTTTTAGTCTTTTTAAGTGTAAGCTGAAGATGATATATTTACAAAATGCGTCAGTACAATCGAACTATGGCTAAGTAGCAAATTAAAGCAACGGTATATTTACTTTTTTGTATTTGCATATGCAGGAACCATCATATTAGGTAAAACTTATTTATTTTTAAATTAAAAAGTAATTTCTACTAATTTTATATACTACTTTTTTTAAAGTTTAGCTCTAAATTAGCTTAATTTAATTTTTTTAATTTATTACTTCTTTATGTAAAGCGCTTGGTAAGTAAAAAGTAAGTGTGTAAGTTTGTTATGGTAAAATTTAAACGCTCATTTTGTAAATACGTCGTTAGCATCGCTTGCATTTTCGTGCTTTTCCAACTTATGTAAAAAAAAATTGCGAAAATTTCATAGAAAATGTGCGAGCTATTTATTGTATTGTTTGTTATGGCGTGAGCTTTCGACTACTTTTTTCCAAATTTCTCAAGCTTTTAATTTTTGTTAATGCAAATCTGGCTAATTTGCTTTAATTTGCTTTAATATTCTTTGGGTAATCATAAAATGTAGGAATTTCAATGAATACAGCATCCTGCGCGAAAGTAGTGACATGGCAAATGGTTAGCGGGTAATCGGTACAATATTACGATAGCACTACAATAACAACTACAATGGCAACAATTGCGCTACTTATGGACGTGTTTGTTTGGTATAGGTGTAAATTTAGAATTTCGTTGCTCTACATATTGTAGCTTGTCCAATTGTTATTATAATTTGGCAAATAATCGTTACGTCCGTCGCCGTAGCGCCCAGTGTGTCAGCCAGTACAACGTAAGTAATTTCCAGAGACCAATTGGCAGGCTAAAAGTGGGCAAAAAAGAGAGAAATTGAGCAATGTGTTTCGGGTGGGCGGCAGTATGAAGCAATTACTTATATAAAGCAACAACAAAGACTACAAATAATTTGAAAAATGTAAATTTTTGTTTTTAATTAAAATAACGGAAAAATAATTAATAAAAAAAAAGTAAAATGCATGAAAATTGTCTGTCACACACAGTGAGAAATAGTTATAACATGCATGCAAAGCAGTCACAAAGGCATAACGGCATAAAAGTTTGTAAATATGAGTAAGAACATGCAAAGCAGACAAAGAACGAATAAAATGAAACGCATAGAAATTAAAAATAATTATAATAAAAATATAATGAAATTTGCCAAGCAACTTACCATCTTATTAAAATTTATCTTTATACATGAAGCACCATTAGCAACAAAGTAAAAACATGCACATCGAAACAAAGTAACAAACAGTTAATGCTACAAAATCGCACACATTACATAAACATTTTTTTACAAATATTTTTTAACATGGAAACATATGACGTAATGATTTTAGAAGCATAACAAAGAATCGGTGGCTGCATTTTATATGGTTTCTAAATAGAAAATGTCAACTCGGAAGTTCGGAAAAATATTTAGAATATTTTTTAAGTTTAGGGTAGTTTTTAAATTTTAATATTTAAATTACTAGTTTTCAAATATTTTTTTCAAAATAAATTAAAACCACCATTTTTTCAGTGTATGTTGCTGAAAAAGATTTGGCATAAAGTTACTAAATACTGTATAGGAAAGTATTACTGAAAATTAAATCACAGCTTTTTATGGACATTTTTTTTATCGCAGCATGTTGTGCGGTTTGTAAAAATTTGTTGCAGGTCATAAAAGGAAATGACTATCAGTATCATAAAAATACAACTTTTACTTTGCACTGTTGCGCATATACTCGTATGATGTACTTACATATGATGCATTGTGATTTTTTGATATTTTGATCATTCTTGAATAGGCGTATGATATACAAATGTTAAACCTTTTTTTGGCTTAGCAACATGTTGAAAAATATGAAGAAAGTTTTTAAGAATGCAAAACAATTAAATTGCAAGTAAATTGTTAATATATTTTTTAAAAACAAAAAAATGTTGCGCAACATTTTATTATTAATAATTATTAATATAAGTAGGTTATCGAAATAATTAAAAAATGTTGTAATATTTTGTGCCACATTTCTTATTTGCATTAAGTTTGCGTGTAAATTTTATTTTTTATTGAAATACGCTGCTTAGGTCGCAGGTCCTTTGCTTTATGAATGACGCATTTCATATACAATTGCTGAACTATTCGCTTACCAACATGCTGATAAATATGAAAAAAATTTTCTAAAAATACATAACACTTAAATTGCCAGTAAGTTTTCAAAATATTTTTTAAAAGCAAAAAATGTTGCCAGAAACATGTTGCGCATCATTTTTATTTCTATTAATTATTAATATAAGTTTATTTTCAAAATATTTTTTAAAGCAACAAATGTTGCCAGCAACATTTTTATTTGTATGAAATTACGTAAACATTATATGTTTTAATCAAATAATTCTTTTGTTTTTGGCCGTGTCCTTTGCTATACCCCATTAGCATACACAATCACCGTTAAAAGCTAAAAAACGCAAAAATTGTAAAAACACTTGCGATCTGCATCGCCGCCTTCGCCTTAGCCCCGCTGTTATGCACACAATTGATGTACGTGTTAATGTATTGGTGATTGACACTGCCTGTGTAGTATATTATGCCTACGACGTTACTACTTGTTCCTGCTTGTGCTCTCTGCTTTCTTTCATTTTAGTTTTTTAACTTCTTTTTGTTAATTTTTTGTATATTTTTACAGCCAATTATTGTTATTTCTTTTTATTTTTATATAAAGTTTTAACTAACAGTTAAGCATGCATGCAACTGTAAGGATACAAAATTTAAAATAAAATTATCTAAATAATTAACTGTAAATTATAAGACATGTAAACTCCTCACATTTTACAGCGAAATTAAATAAATCTTTAACGAAATTGCTTTATTTGTATGTATTCCATTTATTTTTGTTTCATTTTTTTTTTTTTTGTTGTTCTATTTTCAATTTGATTTTCATTACTACCATCATCAGCAGCATCATTATCATTCTTATTTATATTCATTAAGTATTATTACTTTTTTACTTTTTACTTTTTACTTTTTACTTTTTAATTATTAAGTAGTGTTCATTCATATTTAAAATTAAAAAGAGCATAACTTAAGAATAATGCTTTTTACAAATTTTCATTAAACAAAACTTTTTTTTGTTTTATTCGTGCTTGTTTGTATGTGTGTTGTTGTGGTCATTCTATTAATATGGCCGTCTGCTGTTGCTTGCATCCTCAGCTCTGACCACTGATTGTTTCTTGTAATTTCGTATGAATTGCTTTCGCACAATCTTTACAAATTTATAAACTAAACAATTGAAATTAAATAAATTTAAAAAAAAAATTAATTTAGATTATACTCTTAAACATAAAGTTTTTGTTATAAATTACAAGAAAATTAATTAACAGCTAGTTATATTATAAATGTATGTAAGTGTATGTATGTAGGTATAGGTGTGTACATGTGTTTATGTATGAATTGCTATTCGTTTTTATTTTTAATAATAAAAATAAATTAAAAATCTATTTGCATTGTTAGTTGCACAGCAAACAAAACTTAAACACAAAAACTAAATAACTGTGAATATGAAATAATTTTTAAATAAATATTAAAGTTGCAATAAATTAATCATAGCTGAGTTAAGTTGCTTAGCATTTTATTCTCAGTATTCATTTCAGGCTGAGTTCTGCTGCAATTGAGCTTTTACGCTGCTCTTGCGTCTAAATAATATTTTTCTGTTTTTGTTTTCATAAAAATTATCTTTCATCTTAATACTAGATTCTTTGAAGGCGCATATTTGAGCATTTTTAATTGAATTTTTTTTTTTTTTTTTTTTTTTGTAGTACTTTATTCATTTCGCATTTTCGATTTTCGTTTCTTTCGTTAGTTCAGTTTTTATTTATTTTTTATTTTTTCAATTTTATTTGCATTACTTCTTTAACTATTTTAATTACTTACTGAGAGGCAGCGAGGTTTCTTATGCATTTGCTTATTGATATTTCAGTTTCTTACTGTTGATCTTTTATTTTTCAATTTTATTTTTAAGCATCTCTTTCTTATTTCTTCATAAAACTATGTGATATGAGTATGATTATGTGTTTTTTGTATGCATGTGTGTTCGTAGTTGTGCATTTTATGTACAGTGCGTTTTTAAGTATTTACTTTACAAATATTTCATTGTTTTTGAAAAGAAAAAAAAAGAAAAACAAATTTTCATAACTAAAATATTAAATTTTTAAATAACATATGGATGTGTGGAGCTTTGCTTTATGCTGATTTGGTGTTTGTTCTACAATTTTACAAAAAAATATTTAGTTTAAAAAATGTTCGCCACAAAGGACACTTTTACTGCTTACGCTTAGCAGCATGTACTACATTAAAGTACACAGCTTTGCGTAAATGTTTCATCAGAGAATATTTTGTTGCAATATTTTGAATATTTGAAAACATAATTATTCGTGTGTACTATAAAAATCTGTGGGGCTAAATACTTTTTGATAATTTTAGACATTTCAAAGCTCAACATGGAGTATTTTCTAAATCTCTTTAAAGAGATACTATACTAAATTTTTATTTTTATTTTAAAGCAGACAAAAAATTTGTTTCAATTATTGAATATCAAAGTTTCCCAACTTTTTTCTTGAAGTTTTAGTAATATATTCAACTATTACGTGATTAAGAAAAATATATTAAAAATTTTTCATTATGAAATTGTAATTTGATAAATACTTCTTTTTTAACTATTTTATTAATACGTAAATAAGCTATATCAAACAAATTTTTTTTTTGTACTTTTGTGTTTTTTTTTTATATTATTTTTCAAATGCACAAAAGTTTTCTAAAAGTGCATTAAGCTTACACTAAAAGTTTGACTCCGCTGAGATTGAACAGAATAGAATATTTAAACAAAAGGAGCTCAGTTGCAATAAGTTTGATAATTTCTTCAATACATAAAAATTATTAAAAAACTTTCAACAAATAAATATATACAATTCCTTTCGCGTTATGAAAAACGTATAAAAAGGAGATTTTAGAGCGTTTTGTAAATGAATCATTTCACAGTTGATTTTTAAAGGAAAGCTTTTTATTCACTCTAAATATTCTTTTCAAAACTGATAAAGCTCGTAAAATGTAACATGCTTAGTTCGAACAGTTTTTTACAAAAATACGTAAAATCTTAGAAAGCTAGCATTTAGCTTCAGAAAATCTAGAAAATAAGATATATTGACCAATTAAATCAGTGCTAAAAAAATGAACTAAAAATTTAGAAAGAGTGCAATTAAAAGCTTTAATTATTTAAAAGCTTTGCTTGAGGAAAGCTCGAAGCTTTGTAAGGAGCATCTAAATGTATTTTTATTTCGTATTTTGAATATATAAATATTTTTTATTTCGTTTTTGTATGCTGCTTGGATGCCTATTGATCCATTTCTAAAAGCTTTTTGTGTTGAAATATTGAAAAATGTGCTGAAGAAACTGCTTGAACTCCACACATCCATATACCATGTATAAAGATGTACTTATTAAACCGTATGTATGTATGCTATAAAATTTAGAAATGCTCGTATGTGTGTATTTGTGTTGATGTATGAGTGATGATTGCAGGTGGGTTGAATGCATTTGTGATGATCCGATTTTGCTTTCGCTGCTGTGCTGTGCTTGTGTGTGCGTGTGCGCATGCGCATAGATTTTCTAGTGCATTTGTGTGTGTGTGTGTGAGTATGCACTCCCTCGTCTACAGATATTTATTAAATATATATAATTTTACAATTTTTTTCTACATATTCACTTATCGCCTTTCTTCATTTCTATTTCCTTTATAAAAATAGTCTTTCATTGTATTTGATGCTTCAATTTACAATATGTTTGAGTGTATGTGTGTTATAAATAAATGCCTTAAATAAGAAGTAGCGTTATTTTTGTACAATTCATTATTTGCGCCACATTAGACTCTTCTTTAGTCCATTTTTACAATTTACACACGCGCTTGCGTTATCGTTCAGCGCTTTTTCTTTTGTTTATAGAATGCAAGCAAGCTTTGTTTTTAAACAAAAATCTAACTAAAATTCCAATTTTTCGAGAGCAATCTTTCACACTTTGAAAAATACCAACTACTTATAAAGGGTGTAATAAAATAATAATAATTTGGAAATAATAAAAAAAAAAACATTGCTAAAGTTAATGCCAAATCGTCTAAACATTTTCAAAGTAGCTAGTAACCAAAATTAGAAAAATATTTAAGGAAATTTTGAAAATACAACTTTCCAACAATGAGTTAGACCAAATTAGCAAAACGAAAAACCAAACAAAATTTTGAAAATATGTCTGTTAAACATTCTATCAAGCGCTAAACGCTATTTTTGTTTAATCAACCATCAAAAATGTATAAAAGTAATACCAAACATTTTTTTAATAAAAAAAAGATTATGGTTAAATAAACGAATTTTGAATGAAACAAGTTTGGAAGAGCATAAAAGGAAGCCATGGATTACAAAGGATGTGTTTGTGTTGGTGTTTTGCAGTTCAATGGAGTTGTTTAGGTGTTTGGGTAGTTGATTGGTCGTGTGAGTGTGTAGGAGTTGTGGTAGTGTGGATTAGCATACAATTTAGATTTGAATGTAGTGGTTAAGGTAAATTTTGAAACTCACTAATCGAATTGATCGTAGTATAGAAAATCGTCTGCATCGCCGAGTAGCTGCGCTCGCTTCATTGCCGCTTTGCCACCGCTCGTTGCCAGTGTTGCAGTTGCAGCTGCCGATGAAGCAGGCGGCGCTGCTCCTGCGCTCTCTTCACTTTCATCGTACATATCGTCAGCGTCGTCGTCGGCGTCATCTTCATCTGACGCGCTACTTAGTGTGCCGACAACGTCTTCACCGCGCTCTTCCTCTTCGCTGGCTTCCGCTTCCGTGGAGTCTTCGCGCGAACTATTATCAGCCGTCGCCACCGCCGCCACCGCCGCGCTCGCTTGTAGCACATCGTCCTCCATGGAGTTGGTGTAGCGTACATTGCGCTGTTCGCGCTCACGTTCCCCCCGCACGCTTGTTGCTTCAGCACGCGGATCTAAACTTTCCTCTACTTCCGCGCTGCTAAGTTCGGTAGTGGTGGGGTACATTGATAGCGCCGCCGCTACTGTCGTGCTATCGGTATGTTGGCGCGTTGTAGTCGTGGTTGCCGCTGTGGTAAGCGTACTGCTGCTGGTCGCTTGCGTAGTGCTGGTAACTTTTGCTGGTGACTGCTTTTTAAGTTTCTTTTGCGTATTCGCTCCACCATTTCGCCCCTTCTTGCGGTTTGCGCCGCCATTACGGTTGCCCACGCCACCGCCACCGCCACCTACTTGCCGGCCATTCGCATTCAACTTCTTACCGCGTCGGTTATTTGCTCCTGTTGCATCGCCGCCAACGCTATTGCGGTTATTACCATTTTGATTTTGGTTTTGGCGATTTTTCTTTCCCCCGCCACCGTTCTTCTTCTTTTTACATGCCGCTGGTAGTGGCATAAAGGGCACTTCTTCGCCCTTCGCTTTAAGCTGCCTTCTCTGCTGCTGCTGCAGCGTCAATTGCTCTCGACACTTCTTATTGTTCAGATTATTGCCACGCTTGCGCAGCGCTAAGGGACTCCTTTGGCAATTGTGTTCTTCCTCGTTCTCGTGCGCTCGGCACTTTCGCCGCTTCTTCTTCTTCTTGCCACCACCACCATTGTGATTCTGACGGCTGGGACCACTCTGACTACTATTACCACTAGTATGGCCATCATTACTCGCCATCGAACTATTGCTAATACTACTAATCAAACTATTGGACGTGTGGGCGCCCCGCTGGCCACCCCGACCGTTTTGGTTGCTATGGCTATTTGTGACTGTGCTGCTTTGTGACACGCCTCTTTCATTGGCAGCAGGAACGTTGTTCATTGTTTGTTCGCTAATACTACTACTACCGCTAGGACTATCACTATCACTACCTAAAAGACTACTACTGCTGCTACTACTCTTTTTGCTACTACTACTACTATTACTATTGCTACCGCTATTGTTATTACTAAAATTTGGATTGCACTTGGGGAGCGCTTTGAAGTGTTTGCTATCGATTAGGTCGACCAATGGTTTGCCCGTATCACAGAGTTGGCGTATGCCGTGCTTAATGCGATTCTCGCCGAAATTCTTCGCTATTAGCTGTTCGACGCGTACCTCCTCCACCGTTTCGGTGATGGCATTTGTATAGGTGGCTAATTTGCCAAGCGAGCGGGTTGACGGTATTTGCAGCTTACGCGGCTCGCCGTGCCGATTCAACGCCAAGTAGTAGACGCGCCGCGCATTCGAATTGTAGGTGGACGAATAGGTGTTGTAGTTGTGCTGCTCCATGTTCTCGTTGAACACACAATCGTCGGTAAATTCTTTCTGTAAGTAAAAAAAGTGGGAAATATGAGCTGCATGAGCATTAAAGCTTTTAATGGAGAAAAAGTTTTATTTTAGAGTAAAAACTAAAAGCAATATTGTACAAGAAATTGTGTGAGTTCTACATTTTTTGTCTGATTTCTTCGTTATCATTTCACTTGCAAAACTTTCGAATTAAAATCCCTACACAAAACTCGAAATAGGAAATGCCGCCGATTGTGCCACATCTGTCGCCAAGTAATGCGACATGGTGGCGTCTGCAGTACTCGCAACCAAAAGTGTTTCACCAAAATAGAAATTAGAAAAAAACTGCAATATTGTTGCCGCAACGCAAAAGTTAAGTTAAGATACCTTACGCAATTTTATTTGTTCGGCGCTCGTTGTATTTTTTTGCTGTGGTTTTATTCTTAGTATAATTGACTATACGAAACTACAACGCTGATGTCACATAATGTCATTTTTGGCAGAACAAGTACTGCCAAAATGTGCGCTGCTCTTCTCAAAATCGACTTCGCCTGTTTGTCATTTCGGCTTTGGTATTGTTTACCACACTCACACTTATTTTATAAAGCTTACCGAAAGCTCGAAGATGAAAGCTTTTATGTATTTTTTCACTATGCCATTAAAGCCGAGGTTCTATTATTTTAAAATAAACTCTTATCGTATGATATTATTTAAAAATATGTGTCGTGAAATCGTTTTTTTAAGTAGTATATATATTATATATGTATTGCTCTAAAAATTTGTTCGGGTGATCAGATAATTACACTTTGGAAGTAGAAAGTTTTAATTATCCTCGGTATATTCAGACAGTTAGTACTACGAAAAAGTGTGAAGTAATGCACCTCCTTCAGTGTATTACAAAGTATTTGCATTTTTTGAATTTTCTGCTCTGAAATTAATCAGGTTTCTCTCAACCTATAATCGAATGTTTTTCAAGTGTTAGGCTTTCCAATTCCTTTGCGCAATTTTTAAATTTCTGTTGACAATTACAACTCTAAAAGGTGTTGAAAATTAAACCACCGAATAGTTGACTGTTGGAATTGTTGCCTATTGCCCCACAAATCACTAAGTGCTGAGTGCCAATATCTAAAGCGTTCGACATTTGCTGGTGGTGATTGTATACGCGCTATCATGGGGTAGGCAGGCCGAGTCATTGCGTCGATGAGTGTGAAGGGAATGCGTTATAGCGCTGTAATTAAGGCGAATTGTCGAATTCTTCGCAGCCATCTATCCATCATTAGCATGATGCCTAAGTGTGCCAGTCAAATATAAATATTTATGTTGGCCACACGGTAAACGATAAGTACAAATAACTAATAGCTTCCAATGCGCTCACTCTACTATTTTACTCTATTAACAAATATAAAATGCTGCATTTCGTAACACACACTCTGGAATCGAGTGGCGCGTAGTTTTATTCTATTTTTTTATTCACACTTTTCAATATTTTCATTGCATGCATTCTGCTTTCTAGCGGTTTTGCAAAGTTTTAGCACTTTGCGTCTGGTGTTTATTTGGCCTACCAGCAGCACTCCATCTGACTAGCGGTGAGTCAGAATGCCAAGCGCGCCTCTTAATGAGCTCGCTAATGTCTCCAGTGTTGCGTTTAAATGCATTGGCGCTGCCTTTCATCCTTCTCGGGCGTGTTTTTCGGTTTTAACTGTACGCCATTGGTTTTGAAAAGCATCTTAGCAAATTTATTGTTTTCATTTTGCTGTCTTGTGACGTCTGCCGCTTTTATTTACTTGTATTTTCCTTATTTTTGTTATTGCTTACGTTATTGTTCTTTATGATAGTGATAATGATGTGTGCGCACAGACTATTGACGTTCACGGATTTCACATGTGGGTGTCATTTTATGATCACTTAGTAATTGCATAGCAGCTGTGACAAAGGGTGTGTCGGAAGGAATGAGTGGAAAAAGAATGAGTATTTCTTCATTTCTATCCATTTGTAAGTATTATACTACATATTTTTGTAATTGAAATATCTCCAAGTTCAAAAGCTTTCATGGGCACGAAAGCTCAACTCAAAATTCCAAAGTTTGCAAACAAAACCCAAGCGTGCGGTCCGTACTTTTCAAACTAATAGTAGCAGTATTAACTGACAAAGCTTTTGCATCCTCGAAACGAGTATGCGTTGGATTCAGCACATCGTTTTGAAGCATAGCACATATTTTGTCATTTTAGATCAGTTTGGACGCATTCTTAAGCAACGCGGTAATAAAAAGCAGACAATTAGATAATGACTTTAATTTTTCAAAGCCTCTTAAATCTCTTTGCCACCATTGCAGCAGCTGCCCACCGTTTAGAGTTTGCTCTTGCTGCACGCAAGACATTTGTCGTTGAACAAATGTGTGTCAAATGATCGAATATTTCTTACCGCTGCCTACTTCAGTAGCGACATGTCTAATATTACGTGTCGATCTCGCACTATTGACATGACACCGCTACAGAGAATCTACAGTAGGCATCACTAAAAATATCTCATTTAATTTACGCTTTTTCTTCCCGCACTTTTTGTCTAATTTCACTGCACATATGTCTGTATGTCTGTATGTATGCATGTGCAAGTGTGCAGTTTGTCTCGTTAAGTGCACTCTTTTTATAAGAAGCAGAGAACTAAAATTGAATTTGGCCCACTGCCCAGACGGCACTAACGCTCGCATACATACAGACATGCATCACTATTTGGTTACGTTAGTGCCACAATAATTGCGGTATTTTTATGGACATGCCGCGGCTGTATATACGGTCGAAACATGTACATACATATGTATGCTTATAAATACACTTTTAGATGCTACTCAACTCACATGCCTTAGAAATTTACACAATTTACAGCGCATGTGTATTTCAGTTGCAACTTTTTGTATAAAAATTATGATAATCGCTGAACATGTTTTTCATGCTACTAAAGTTGTAAAATACTTTTGCCAAAACCACCTTAGAGAAATTACATATTCAACAAATGTAAAAGCAATAAATTTGCCGAATTTTATGTACTTAAATAATCGGCGATTCATTATATACAATTTTGGATTGCCTTGATCCCATAGCCGATCTTCAGGAGTACCTCCGAAAAATTACAGTTACCAAGTTCGAATAACAAGTCAAAATTGTTATTTTTAACAAATTGGCGGCTAACCAGAGAAGAAATCGTTCTTTGTGAAAAAAATGTACACTTCAAGTGCCTTAAAAAATAAAAAATCATTTTTTTTTGACCATTACCTGACAAATATCTCTCAGGAGGTCTTGTGAAAATTTAAAGGCGATCGCTTCAGCCATTTCAGAGAAATGCTCTTCACCAACACTGAGAAGAACGTTTCAATATAAACGCGCTTAAAGTTGCGGGTGCCGATTTAACTAAGTAAAAAAATTATGACATACTCGTATAAGACTCAAATCGCCGATACCATTTGCCGGATCTAGCTTAAATGTGCATCTTTTTAAACAGCTAAAGATGAGTGAAAGGTGAATTTAACTCTAAAAATATACGCAGACATGATTTTGATTTTTAGTTTTATCATATCTTATCAAATCTCTTAAATGTAGGCAATAACTTTAGAAGTACTGCCACCAGCATGAGTTTTAATCCTGTTTTTTTTCTATATTAATTTTTTATAAGGTTTGAAGTTTGTAAATTTTTGTATGTAAAAGTCATCTTTAATAACGGTTTTGACGATATGAAATTTTTATTATTTCCTCTCTTACCCGCTAGATCACTTCGAAAATCAATTACTCTAAATATTTAAATTGATTCGCTAGCTTCAATCACATATCACTTTATATAATACCTAGTCAATAAATAGCTGTGAGTATTACATTGCAAGAAGATCTTCCTTTAACTGAAAATTCCTAAGACGTGCACATTGCACAAGGTGGCCTTTTTTTATCCATCACACCATCAGGAGCAACAACAGGAGTGGCAGCAATAACAGGAGCGGCATCACACAAGCCGTGTTATGTTAATCAGATATATTGCAAAGATAAGCGCACCCTCATTATCACAGGATGTGTCTAATAGAACGCATTCAATGAGCGCCAAAGTAATTGAGCGCGCCACACCAAGAAATCCGCATGCAACAAAAAATTCATTAAGCAGCTCCATTGGACGCAGAGAGAAAGGAGCAATATAGAACACATGAGAGATGAGGGTCAGTAACGCTTTAAGTCGAAATAGGTGTAGCACTTCATAAAGTAGGAAAATTTATGGGGCTTAAAGACAGCCGCGAGCACCAATCCGAAATGTCTGCCCTACCAGAAAGTGGAAAAAAATTATTGATAGAGTATTGATGTATAGAAGGAAAGCAATGGAAAAGAAGGAAAAGTAATTGGAGCAGTAAGGACAGCCTTTAGCTGACCTGCCGCGCCGTGTAGTACGATCATGGCGGCAGTGGCTTGCTACAAAACGTTATAAAAGGTAGTCGTGTACACTTTCGATCGCTGATTTGATTGCGATAAGCAAGATGATCAAAGCAAATGTCGATAGGCATCGAAAAAAGCGAAAGAATAATGGATAATGGAAATTGGTATTATTTATAACACATTTCTAGAATACAAAAAAATGAAACGCCAGTTCTTTGCTTTGATTTTTTCGAAATATTTTCAAGTTTAATGGTTTCCAATTAATTTTGTTTTCATGCAATTGAACGTGGGCGCGTCTATGCGTCGGCCTGAGTCATTTTTTTTAAGAAATTTAAAATTCAATGACTTTGAGTGTAGTCGAAGAAATGCCTTATTCTTGACTTTGAACCCTTTACGCTGGCAGCATAGCAAGAAATAAAAGAAAACCGCAAATTCGGCGCCACATCGAACGCAGATCTAAGGCGGCGACGTTGCTCAATCTAGCTGTCTGTCTATCTACTTATGTTATACTCAAATTTATTTTTGAATTTCGAAAAAGTTTGCATTCAAATTTTGTAATACAAAGTATTTCATTGTGTTAAATAAATGCATTAGGGTGAGAGAGTTTGTTGTACTACAGCGGTTTCCCCCGAC